TGGCTACTGAAATCAATCTTACTAACTGCTGTCTGTGCAATTTACTCCGCGAGTTGGCAGACTTTATTTTGCTTACTTTAACATCATTTTTCAAGGTGGGGCTAAGCCATTTCTTGGTATGGGTGTAGCCTACCCCAGCCATACCCTGGCGCTGCCACTGGTGGCATGTATGGGGCGGGCCATTCTGCACATGCGTTAAACGCCGTTAACGCGATAATTTTGACAGCACTAATTTTTTCACATATTAGTTTTAAAAACATAAACCGTTTGAAACCGTCAGGCAGGTAATTTGTATTTACTGTATCAACAATGAGAGAGACTAAGCCCTTGTACTGTAAAGGTTGCTCAGAGTCTATGGGGTAGGAAGGAGTGTAACAATCCTCCGCCTCATCGCTAATTCTGGATGCTATGTCATTCCAGCTCACTAAACCGTAATCAGCTTTTGTGAAAGGAATTGGGCTAAACATGGGAGAATGCATGGATTCTGGCATATTTTGGCACAACCAACAGTTGCTAACATTACGTTCATGCGTGTAGTCTAACATTAAATTTACTGCAGAATTAGTTTTAGTTTGTTTAAAAGGAGTAATTAAGGCCTTTTTTGAAGAATCTACCTCACCTTCTGATTGTTTAAGTGGAGTAACATCACCTCCTGAGTGTTTAAGTGGAGTAGATGGAACATTTGTTTTGCTATCTGGTCCAGTAAATGTGCATGCAGTGACACCTGGATTGGGAACCTGGTAATCTGGTTTCCTCATTGTACATTTGACCTTATCCCTTATCAGTGTCTTGAACTGTTCTACAGTGCTACACCACAGTTCTGGGGGCATTTCTCAATGGTGTTGAGAGCCATTCTTACCACCTCTGATGAGACCCCGAACCAATGGTACTGGTTCTTTGGATACATCTCCCACGTTGGGTAAACTAAGGACACAGGAAACACAATGATACAGTTAGATGAGTCACATATTAAAATTGGGCAGTTAAAATAAATAGTCTCTGACTTATGATCAGGGAGGGAGACAATCTTCCTTATTCTCCCTCCTTTTCTCTCTCTTTGTGTCTCTTGCACCATACTGAATGTCTGTGTGGTGATTGGATACAACCTGTCCTTGTCGCTAGGCACTGCTTTGCCCGTTGGTGTTGTTTTGCCCTCAGGGTCTGGGTAGCGGCGCCGGATTCATTTCAGAAGTGGGGGGGCCAAAAAGTGCGTGTGTATGTGACCTAGCCTACTTGCCAACCCTCACGATTTTCGCGGGAGACTCCCGTTTTCCTCCCGGGGTCATATTTATCCCGCATTTCTCCCGATTTCTGACTAAATCTGATTTGTTTCATTCTAACATAACGCACCAAATGTTACTGTTTCCACTCGGACTTCAATACAGCTACACCATTGTTTGGTTTTCATGGTAACGTGTCTCTTTAGTAGCGCGAGCAAATGAAAGTCTGAGAGGGTCTTCAGGAGGAAGATAGTCAGAGAAAACAGAACAAGAATGGACAACTCAACCCTCTGCTCACTCCTTTCCTGTAAATTAAACTATACAGACCAGCCCACACATATGACAGCGCAGTTGCTCATTCCATCTCTTCTTTTTTCCTGCTACGCTCTTGTTTGACAAGCTGAATGTTGACTGGTGTTTGACTGAAGTAAGCTCTGTGAAAAGTTCCAGTTATTAACTCGGTATTTACAAAGCTGTCATCTCCACATTTGGAGAAAGTTACAAGCCGTTTGACAGCAGCACATCTGCATATTTCACAGAAGGCTCGTTTAGTGGTTTTGCAAATAATTAACCACTCTCTGTTTTTGTACCATTCTGCATTGAAGTACCTTCTCTTTGCCCAAATAAGCTTTTATTGGCCCGTCACAATGTCCCGACAACAAACCTCCATGCAGTCGGAACCAGCCTGTTTCGGTTCAACGATGCCGGCGGCGGCGGTTTTGACAGCCTCTGCGGCCGCAGAGCTGCTGCTGGGGTTCATCTGGCTGCGCTGGTTCTGTGGTTGAAGGACCAGGCTCCGGAGGTGTGGTTGTCAGGGATGTGACATTCAAGTTGTTGAATTTTAGCTTAGTTTGACTGTATTTTGTTTTCTTATGCGCCGGTTCTTCTGACATGTTTGCAAGTTTATAGGTTAACGGCTGACACACACAGAACAACGTAACACATAACGTAAACAACGTAACAAATAAACACATCTAAGCTTTGTTATTGGTTGTAATGTACATGGATACATTTGAATGGTGTGACAATATTTGATTGGATTAAAATGTACATATTCTTCCTGTTATGTCTGCCTGCTGTATTTTACCTAATGCAAAGTGACCTGCTCCATCGAAATCAGTCGCATTGATCCGAAGACACATTTTGAGTTGTATACACTGTTGGAAAGAGGAGATTCCTAGCTTTCTAATGATATCAGGATTGTTTTTGTACTATATTAAGCAAAATATGTCACATTATATAATGACTGTCACCGAGTCATCATTTTGAGAAAAAGGCCTTAAAGTTTCCTCTTCTCTGGATCGATCTGATTGATTATTAGCGGAGCAAATGATCAAAGTAGTACGGAGGGAAGATATTTTCGTTTGGATTACTGGTCTGGGGGAAGCTCGCGAGTGTGTGCGTGTATACCACGTGTGTGTGTTTGTGTATTTTTGCGTTTGTTTCCCGGGGAAAACTTTCAGGAGAAACACCGGCTGTTGTTATGCTTGCTGTGACGTCAAATTACTCCGTTCTCCGCTTGTAATTATGCCGTTAAAAGCTTCAAAGCTGTATTTATCATCTGAATTTGCCGAAACAAGTTTAATATTCTGAAAGCCAAGACTTTGTTTATTTGAAATCAGATGAAAACAAACTGTAACAGACCCTGCGGTGTTATCTATGATTACTATGCCTTACATTCATAATGTCAGCGGAGGGAGGGGAAGCGGCACTGTAGAAGAGCAGAGTGGTGATTGAGAGGCGAGCTGTGTTCTTCCCTTTACAAGCTTCAAAAATGCCTGTAGCTAATGAGATTGAATATAACAATCAACAATAACAAAATATACACAGCTAGATCAGATGGCGTTCTTTTTAGATGCGACTTTAGAGTAGAGGAGAATTATTGAAACGGGATGTGTACGGGGTTCCGCGGCATCCGCTGCTGCGAAAATGTGGGGCAGGGCCGTAAAATGGGGGGGGGCAATGGCCCCCTGACCCCCCCGCTTCCGGCGCCCTTGGGTCTGGGCCCTGAGTGGTCAAGTCGTCTGCGCTCTTAGATAAGGGCACCTTATTTTCTCCCTCAAAGGGGCGAGGTCCCCCGCCACCTGTCGTTGGGATTTTCACAGCTTCATCTAGCAGGGCGTCTTTGGCCAGGTATAGTAAACCCAGAATGACGATGATGATGACTGCCTTCACACGCCAGCATCCGGTAGAGGAGAGAGACGACATCTGGAAGCGTGAATCCACTCCGCTCTACCTTGTACTCTCAGGGCTGTTCTGGTCACTATTAATACCTGGAAAGGACCTTTCCACCTGGGAGACAAATAATCTTTTTCAAGCGATTTGATTAGTACATTATCACCAATCTGAAAAGGGTGGGTGGGCCCCTCTCCAGGCTGAGGGAGCCTGTCAGCCACCTGCCTGTGAAACTTTCTCAACATGTCAGTTAGATATTTGACATAGTTAGTCATTTAATCATCTGTCCACAAAAGAGTGAGTTTGTGGGGTATTACTGGCGGGCTAGACCCTGTGAACATTACCCTTCCCATCAATACTTCGTGTGGTATAATAGTGGGGGGTGGAATTAGGTAGAAAATACGCTCAAACAAAATAACAAGACAGCAATTCCATTTACCCAGTCACCTTTTCAAAAAAGAAAAATGGCAAGAGACGCCTCGAATGGGGGTTAATCAGTGAGACGCCTGTGACAACTTACAGCCATCCGTCCGGAGCGTCAGTCAAGAAACGAATGCAGCAGCAGCAGTGCGGGGGTCAGAGGCCTACAGTCTCGCGCCTCTTTTGGTCATGCGCGCGTTCATGTGTGTTGGAGGAGGGGCTCTGTGAGGAAGTGGCAGATTTTCCCCGGTTTGACTGCAACATTTTCCAAATTATCTAACCCTTACCTTAAGAACAATTCACACACCCACACACACACACACACGTTGGAGCCCCCCTTGATGTGGGGGGTTGAGATAGCCTGGGGTGTAAATGCCTATGTTAATTAAGACCCTCTCTGTGATATGAGAAGAGAGGGATGAAGTTAGTTTAAAAAAAGAAATAAGCTCAAATTAAATAAAAACAGCCATTAATTTTCACTCACCAAGACATCTAAAAACGTTATTGTCCTCTCTAGATTTGATTCAGGGTTTGTTTTAAATGGTGTGTGCTGGCTAAGGATGTTTCTTTTCAAGTTTTTGTGAAACTGTTAACTACAAGAAGTATCTGTTTTGCAAAGAGGTTATTTTCAAAAGATCTTATTCAGTTTTTAATAGTGATACCTAAGGATATTCTCTTTTAGTATATGGATTTGTGAACTAATGTGTAATTACCTTTATTAACTATAAGAAAAGTCTCTCTGAAGACGGAAATAATAAAACAATTTAAAAACATGATATTGTCTTTTTTAAATCATTATTTTACACCACTGTAAGGAAACCCAATATGAGGTGGTATATATCAGAACTCTGCTGTATCCATAAAAGAGAAGTTTTCTAAAATGTGTTTCCTATTCCATTTCACTCCATGACGGCTCCAGGGTGGCTGATCAGAACAAAATAAAAGCTGTAAACACTTAAAATACTCAATCAACAGTCTTGAGGGTAAATTAAAATAGTCATTTATAAAAAACATACAAGGCTTATGTCTACTGGAGATCAATACAGGCACTGAGTCTCACTCTGTGGGGGGGCAAAAAGACGCATAGCTAATTACCTGGATAAAAGGACTTATCGATTGGTCAGTTTCTTTTTGAGGGGTGACAAGGCTCAGTTATTTGGTGTTTTATATAAGGCGACAAGATCTCTACAGTTAGAGAAAAACAGAGGATGAATTACCCTGCCATTCCAGCTCAGCGCTTTATTGACCTGGATGTCATCACCAACCATTGTGGTAAGTACTTATTTTATAATATCATGTATTTATTAAATGTTGTTTATATATATATATATATATATATATATATATATATAGTATATTATTAGATACTTAAAAAATATTATGTTCTTCTGTTTGCAGTAGAGATCCTGTGTGCTGAAAATCCTAATGTGTGGGGTCATAGAATTATTGAAATACTAGGTGAGTTTCTTTTTTACTTCTTTTAAACATGTTTTTAATTAGAAAAGTATAGAGCAATATGGTGTGGATTATAATCAAATCTTTCTGTGTCTCTCAGCTCAGGATACTCTGAGTCAGATAAGGCCGTTAGTATTGGAACGAATCTGCTTTGTACTTGGAGCCTACCTTAATTCACCCCTGTGGAAAGTGAGTATATTTAAACTAATTGTATTTTTATTTTGAAATCAAATATGGTTTTTATGTGCAAAGTATCCCGAATAACGGTTTTTACTCTTTTGTTTTAAAAGGTGGCGAAGTCTACAGCACTGACAGAGGCTCTGTGTATCAAAACTTTTCCCCTGTGGAGTTCACACACAATCCACCCTTTGAGGTAACTGCAGACCCCTGGGGGCCAGCCGTCGCCCTCCCCTGGGACACAGATAACCAAGCATACACCCCCGTTTTCAATCCCTCCCTGCAACCGCTCGGGTCTGAAACCTTCCTGCGAATTCCACCAGAACTGCAGGCCAATTTTGACACTTGCAGTGCCTATCTGGATGACTTTGAGTTACAACCAGACATGCTCATATCGAGTCAGACAGACTCACCCCCTAGTCCTCAGGTCGAGGGTGAACCATCAGCACAGAATATTCGTGAGATCCAGGCCGATATATCACTCGTCACAGATCCCCTCCTGACGAGATATCACCCCGGTAAATGAGTTTTATCGTTATTTTACAAGATGTTTGATAAATGAATAGTGTTAAATGTATAATCATGTGTTTTTCAAAATACTTATCCTTCTTTTTCTCTGTCTTTTTTTTCTGTGTAGATCAGTCAAGCTATTACCGGGACGACTCCCACTGCTGCTACTGTCAACTTTATGGACACACCCACTGAGGGTCTCATGTAAATTTATGCCGATGTAACCGACCGGTATGTTTCTTCAGCTGTGACAAATGTATTTCTGATTTTGGTTTCATAAACGGTCAAACATGGATGATTTAGCAGATAGAGAATTTTCTTTTCTTCAGTCTATAAACGACATAAATGAACTAAGCAGTGATGAGGAATTCGTGTATGGAGATATGTCATTTCCTCAGTGTTCGGACAATATCAATGAGTTAAACGACGAAGAACCTCCAATCTCATCACAAACAAACTCAAGCCATCCCACAACCTTAGATAGCGCTTTGGAATGGGTATTAGCATACTATCAAAACGCTGACACTTACCCAGGTCTCGGGCTTTTAAATCAGCTCGCAGACGGAGTAAGCCATCTGAATGGAGTAAATAGCATAGCTTCAACCATTGCGGAAGCACCAGTTTCCATCGTGCAGAATGGTGAACACGTTAGTGACTCAGAATCACCAGTTTGCTCCATGCAAAGTGGTGGACATGTTGATCAGAATGACACCCCGAATTCTTCAGAATCACCACCCACCTCGTTCCAACATGGAGGGGGGGCTAACCGAAATGCCACACCAAGTGTTTTATCTCGACCTGTATTCAATAACACAGAACTGCGTCAGTCTCTAGTCCTACCCTATCCTAATAACGACGAAGCAGACTTTACATCCTATTATGGGGTTCTGATGAACAATGTACAGGATATGGTAAATTATGCTTTTGCACAGGCAGATAGGGAAGATATTGTTCAGATTGAACTCCGGGGAGAGCAGCTACAAGCTAATGTATCAGCCATTTTGAATGCTAATGATGATAATCTAGCTGATTTTGAGGAGGCCCTATTCAATGCTGTACAGTCAAATTTGGAGGTAATGGCAGAAAGTAACCTCGAGTTAGTGGTGCAAATTGTACAATCCCCCCGTGGTGGTGGTGCTAAAAGATTGGCTGGTAAAATGTTGGACAATGAGATTGTTAAAAAGAAGAGGCGTTTTCTGTACGTGGTACAGAATCCGTCCAACCAGCTGTGTTTTGCTATTAATTTAGCACTGTTGTTGCATGACAACCTCACTGATAAAGAAGGTTTTGAACGTGGTAAAGATATTCAGAGGAGGGTGGGTTTGACAGATCAGACAGCTGTGACATTCAACGACATTGTTAAATTCGAAGAGAGTTTAAAATGCAGGATTGTGGTATTTTACAGAGACGATGAAGATCGTACTCACTGTAAATTCCAGACAGAGGGTCCCAAACGAGACAAAACTATGTTTTTGTTTCTCTTCAAAAACCACTACTATGGGATTAAAAACTTGAAGGGGTTTTTAGGCTCTCCATATGTCTGTGAACATTGCTACACAGGTTACAGCTCTCAATGGCATCATTTCTGTACTGGTCATTGTTATGTCTGTCTTGACCCCTCATGTACTCTGGACGAGTTTAAACCCATCTTTTGTAAAGACTAACAAAACGTGTCGTACGGCTGGCTGTCACTCTCGACATAAAAAACAGACACAAAGATCATCAGACATTGCCAGTAACTGCGATTTACACAAAAAGTGTGTAGATTGTCAACTTTCCTACTACACTCCCAAGAGTAGTGCAGATAAAACACACAAGTGTGCGGTGAAAAAATGTAAGACATGCAAGGAAAAATTACCCTCTGCTTCTACAGCCGATGGTGAAAAACATCTGTGTTACATCAGAGTGTTGCCCAAAGAGACAGAACACAATGACAACATTGTGTTTTATGATTTTGAAACCATGGCTGGGGCAGATGGTGTACATGCCCCCTTCCTGGTGTGCACAAAAACCCTGGCGGGTGAAATTTGGGTCTCGGGGGGCACCGACTGTGCACTGCAGTTTCTGACACACTTTAGGCGTCCAAAGTTCAAAAATGCAACCTTCATCGCTCACAATGCTAAGGGTTTTGACAGCTATCTAATTATCAATGCAATGTTAGAACAAGGATTAAAACCCTCTTTGATAATGCAGGGAAGTAAAGTGATTTATTTTACTGACCAGGATTTCGGGCAAAAGTACATAGACTCACTGTCTTATCTCTCTATGCGTTTAGCAGCAATGCCAAAAGCTTTGGGATTTGAAGATAAAATCAAGGGATACTTCCCACACAGTTTCAGCTCTAAGGCTAATCTGAGTTATATCGGACCTTACCCCCCCAGCACACTGTTATGGGATTGAACGCATGACAACTGATGAAAAAAGTGACTTTTTCACCTGGTATGAGACGGTACGCACGGGTACTTTTGATTTTCAAAAGCAGGCACGGCTTTACTGTAAAAACGATGTGGACATTCTTGCCCAGGGAGCCACTTTATTTCGGAAAGGGTTTCTCGCAGAGACAGGAGTTGATCCTTTTAGTCGTGCGACCATAGCTTCTGCGTGTATGAAAGTTTTTACCACCAACTTTCTATCACCCAAAACCCTGGCAATTCCACCACCCGATGACTACCGCTATGAAAACAAGACGTACTCTGACGCAGGTGTTCAGTGGCTAGAGTGGATAGCCCAAACAGAAGGTGTATTTATTCAACATGCGTTGAACGAAGGAGAAAAACGAGTGGGATGTTTTGTCGTGGATGGTTTTGCCGAAGTAGCCGGGGGCAAGATTGTCTGGGAATTTCTTGGTTGCTTCTATCACGGGTGTCCATCTTGCTACAAGGGCCATGAGAAAAACCCCTTGACAGGTGGCACATTTGAGCAGCTCCATGCTGCTAGTGAGGAAAAGCTGCATGAGCTACAGTCTGTTCACGGGGCCAAAGTGATCGTTATGCGTGAGCATACATGGGTTGAGATGAAAAAATCCAACCAAGATTTACAGGCTTTCCTCAGGGAATACAAAGCGCCAGAGCCATTGACCCCCCGCGATGCTCTATACGGAGGGAGGACATGTGCTGTAAAGCTGAGGCACAAGACAGCGGCAGTTGAATTGGTTCATTATTGTGATTTCACTTCACTTCACTCTACCCTTTTGTAAACTGTACAGGCCTATATCCCCTTGGACACCCCCAGCTCATATTCCAAGATTTCAAAGACCCTCGCAGTTATTTTTGGGTTAATCAGAGCCACAGTAGACCCCCCCAGGGGTCTTTACTTTCCTGTCCTGCCCTACCGAACTGCGGGGGGTAAGCTAGTGTTCACCCTATGCCGTACATGCGCTGAGCTTAACAATCAACAGGGGCCCTGCATGCACAGCAAAGAGGAAAGAGCATTAACAAGAGTTTGGGTGACCACAGAATTCACCAAAGCCCTGGACATGGGATACAAGATGACTCAGATCACAGAGGTGTGGCATTTTGAGAAGAAAAGTGACAGCATTTTTGTAGACTATATACACACATTTTTGAAGGGCAAACAAGAAGCATCAGGTTACCCTTCAGAGGCCACAGATGATGAGAGCAGACAAAATTATGTGGCAGACTATCATGCTAAGCAGGGTATCTTGCTGGATGCAGATAAAATCAAATCAAATCAAACGTAACACCAGCCAAAAGACAAGTGGCAAAACTATGTCTCAACAGTTTCTGGGGTAAATTTGCCCAGAGAAGCAATCTGACTCAGACTAAGATTGTGACCAAAACAGAAGAATTTCTTAACCTCTTGTTTTCAGCTAAACATAAGGTTAAGTATTTCTCATTCCTCAACGACAGAACGGCTCTTGTTCAGTGGTGCTACGGTGAAAAATGCTATTCTCCTCCCAACAAGGTAGATAATATATTCATTGCAGCATTTACCACTGCGTATGCCAGGCTGAAACTGTACAGTGAATTGGAGAAATTACAGCACAGAGTCTTCTACTACGACACAGACAGTATCATATATGTGACGAGACCGGGTGAGACTCCACTGCCCATGGGGGTTTATCTGGGAGATCTGACAGACGAACTGGGGGGCGACACAATTGCAGAGTTTGTTTCAGCAGGCCCTAAAAGTTATGCCTATCAGACCAAAAATCAAAAAAAGGTGGTGATGCGTGTGAAAGGCATTACACAAACGCACGAATGTTGTGAACGAGTGAACTTTGACAGTCTGACAGATCTGGTGGAAGGCTACGTTCAAAACTCTGAGAGGGGCAGGTGTCTTCAGGCTCCGCAACACAACATTGTACGGAATAAAAAGGGTTTCGTTTTGAGAAATGTGTCATTCACCAAAAAGTTCCGAGTTGTATTTGATAAGAGACGTCTGCTAGACGGAGGAAATACTTTGCCTTTTGGGTATTGAGACAAAATGTTTTCACCCCGTCAAATTGATTTTGAGCCCCGACTACGAGGTCCTTTTTCTTGTTTAGTCGTGGGCCCCAGTGGGTGCGGAAAAACTTTTTTTGTCAAGAATGTATTGCAAAATTGTATTCATGTAATGGATGTACAACCTCAAAATATTGTGTGGATTTATACTTCTTTCCAACCCATGTATGCTGAACTGCAGGAAAAGAATACAAATATAAAGTTCATCAAAGATTTGCCTGAATCATTTCAAGATGAATCTCTATTTCTTCCAGATCAAAGTCATTTGATTATATTGGACGATGTTATATTTCAGGCCTCGGAGCATCCTGAAGTAGTCAGACTTTTCACCCAATACCGTCATCACAGAAATATGAGTGTTATCATGCTTACCCTGTAAAGGAATATGTTAGTCTTGTTAAAGTATATAGAGTTTAGTGACTTGTCCTCGGGAATCTGTTTAATGGTTAAAGTGTATTCCTGCCTGTAATGTGATCCATAGCTTCTCAGGAAGACACAGGTCAAGAGGTCATCTGATGTCTTGTGGGGGGAGAAGCTTGGCTCATGTGGGTTTGCAATACAACGAGTCTTTGTCTCGACATCTGGCATGCATTAAAGGAAAACCCGCGTGTTTTAGGGCTCTCCTCTTTCTTACATATAGATGTGTTCTTGGCGCTTTTGTCTTCAGAGTTGGCTGGTATCTTACATGAGAACTGTAGTATACTGTGATCTCTCCGGCCGTACGAATTCTCAATAAATATCAGTGTATTGACAGGCGAATCCAGTTTCCCTCATTTCATGATTGGCTCAACATTGCTGCAAAGAAGTTTTTACTTCACAATTGGCGTCGCGAACAGTTACCAACAGATCGTCGAGCTGGTGAGTGTAATTTCAAATCTATATTTTGACATTGCCTCGCCAGACTCTGTGATTGACGGTATAAAAATTACCTGTGGAACAGATAGATGCAATTTTTTTGGTTTCCTCTGTGTGTGTGCACGGCAAATATTCGGAGAGACCTTAAAGAGGGCATCAGTAATGTGGAACTTCTGTTTAAAAGCAATGTAAAGATTTGTACTGAAACGAATCGCCGAATTCTGGAGATTTCAACGGTTTAACTAGTTAAATCAACTCGCCTCGAAATATCCCTGTTGCTGCTGCAAGGAGGGTGTGGGTAATTCCCCTCCCCCCTGTGGGGAGCAGCACACGAGGAGAAACAAAGCACAGTGTCGTATTCTTCTTAAATCGCACCATTATGAGTTTTGGAACTAAACAGAACTATTATTAACGGGAAACGTGATACGAAATATTACGTCACGCTGTGTTTCATAATCTGAGGGGTTGTTGAATTTGGCTGTTGTTAAAATAAAGGGTACTGAATTAATTAAAAGTCTCTGCTCTCCGGATCGGGGAGGGCAGAGCACCACTAAATTAGCATAGTGGTTGTTGATTGAGAATAATGTGGTTATTACTCTTCAGCAGATTCCGTTCTTAGCACTTGTACAAGTATATATGAGTAAGAAGGCACTCATATTAAACAGATATTTCCCTACCCCCGCTGAAGTTTCCCTAATTCGGATTAAAATTAAACTGGATGAGTTTAGCTGTCACCTGATATTTGTTGCGGGTTCATGTTTGTTTGTATAATTGTTTCGTGTTTGTTTGTTGATGTAGGGGATGTAGAGCAAAATTATACATTGTAATCTAAATTTCCACAAAAGGAAAATAAATAGCAAAAAGCCTCTGTTTTACACCCGGGAACCTCAGAGGCATCACTGCGGGTCATCTGTCTGCTCAAATAGGTGTATTATTTGTTTCATTTATTCTGAATCTATGTATTGTATGGTAATAATGAAAATAAAAAAACCTAATGTATTGAACACATTCCGAAACAAAGCAGATAAGACAAGACTCAGACATAATGGTGATTGAACCTTTTTGCACGATTGATGCAAAATGAAAACTTTGTCATTATCTGTTTCCAACTGGCCACTGGAATTGGAGAATTGATATAAGTTGAAGTTCAATTACAGTTTTAAATATAGTTCAACATTCTTTATTAAACTGTTTCAAATTATTTCTAGTCAAAATCCCCTCCTTTTCTTTACTCTGCTTGGTGCTGCAGAAGAAAAAAATAAAATAAAACGCAAGACACGGGGTCAGAGACAGGTGTGACCTCTGGAAGGAAAAGATCATCTGAAGCAGACCACAGCACGGTGCGTTGGGGGTTTTATGGCCTGAGCACAAAGGAAGATCTAATTTCAGCACTCTTTCTGTATAGCCACTGGTGTAAAGTAACTAAGTTCATAAACTCAACAAGTACTATACTTGGGCACAATTTTGAGATACTGGTACTTTATTTGAGTATTTAAAATGTTTTGCTACTTTATTCTTCTGCTCCACTACAGTTCAGAGGTACATGGTGTATTTCTACTCCACTACATGTATTTAATACCTTTTAGTTACTTTCAGATCTGGATGAATGATGTGAAATCTAATCAAGTGTTGAATCAGACTTTAGTTCCACCTGGAGTAAATCCACCAGCTACCCTGCAGTATACAAAGTCATTCAAACTAGCTGCACCTTTACCAGCTTTGAGAACACTTTCATGATCAATCATTATAAAACATATCATATATAGTATTCTGAAATAAACCAATCTGCACAGTGACTACTTTTACTGTCGCTATTTTCACTATATTTTGATGACAATACTTTTATACTTTTACTTGAGTAACATTTTGAATGCAGTACTTTTACTGTAACTTAGTATTCCTACACTCTGGTACTTCTACTTGTACTCAAGAACAAGATCTGAGTACCTAAGCTAACGTTAGCCAGAAACCTTCCATTTTGACACACAGAACAAAGGTAAAGTAATTCACACAGCCTCTTCCCGAGGAGCAGCAGGTTCAGCTTCATTTAAATATGTCGTGTAGTAATAGATGGATTTATTT